GCGGTCGACAAAACTTCCATGGTCCGTGGTCAGTATTTAACGGGCATGACTAAAAGGGTACCACTACCTTGTATGTCGGCTAGCCCTCACATTCACTGCGTAGGACAAGTTGCCAAGTTGCAAATATCATTACAATCCCTAAGAGAAGAATGATGCGTAGCAGAACACAAAGGGGAGACTGAGCTCTATTTTCTAGAATCAAAGCTCGACCTCACTACCTCCAATGACACAAGCCGGCCCAGCCACCAAATGCTAAAGCCACACCCATCGAATCGCTCAGTTAATTCTGAATGGCATGTAGATGCGTGGCGCATCCCACCAAAGATCTAATTTCCACTTGTTCCCTTCATCTAATTTTCCAGATGTTCCCTTCAGACTCATAATCCAGCAGACCACCGCTACAACTTCAACTACTCTGCAGCAGGGAATCTTCTGGTAGGTGACATGTCCGATACGCGCCTCGCCTCCTTCGTCCCGTCGCAATTGGCGAACGATTGGAAGGTGCCTGACTCGAACAATTAGGTGATTTCTCTCTGGATGCCCTTTTTCTGTTTGACGTTCACCAACAATTTACCCACGTAATCAAAACAGGTCAGCTACTGGTGACAGTATGCGCAAGGTGGGAAAAAATGGCGGCCCTTGGATCTTCGTCCTAGGCGGGCGCTTCCAAATAGGTTGCACTTCTTCGCCATCAGGTCATCGCATTCTCCTTGACGGTCAATGTCATTGCCGATTTCCCTTTTTTAGCTATTGTACGAAACATACGACACGCCGGCGAAACGAGGCTAATCTGGGGGCCTGGGGATGTTGTTGTGGTCGCCAGCGCGTTGAGAAGACGTCGGCGCTCTGTCGTCCCAAAGATATAGGGTAGAACGCACTGAACGCTCATCGCGCCACGACAGCGGCGGGCCTTCTTGAGCCGGTTAACGGTCGTGGCTATTTAGGTCAAGCGAGATGCAGAGACGATTAGTAGCCAGCGCAAACACATAACAAGCATTTATGATAAAACATGCTACGATCGGACAGCGCGATCGCCGCTGAGGTCAGAGACGCAGAGTGTTGGCCAGAATTCGTCACCGGTCAGAGACGCAGAGTATTGGATAGACATTCGTCACCGGTCAGAGACGCGGAGTATTAGCAGCGGGTAGACACTCGGCAGAGAGCAGCAGCGAGAAGGAGTCTAACCGTAAAGGGCGCGGCATGTTAACCAACTAGATTGTGGGAGCCTTATTTCGGACAGGTCAGCGCTGTAGTTTGATACAAAACCAGTAAACATAATCGAATTAGGGAAATATGTGATGCGATACAGAACACGAGAAAGACGTCATAAGTAACAGAAAACTCTTTACAGTAATACACACGCTAGTCGGGAATGCCAAGAATTTTGCCGGAAAATTTCGCGAAATTTCTGAGACAGTCTGCGAATGCACAGCCGCTGTCCTACCGTAGTCTACAAATGGGGATATGTACCTGTCTCAACGGAACCTTCGAGTAAACTTACTGGTAATGTCTTTACGGCATAGGGTGCATTTGTAGCTTTTGAAGTGAGCCTGCATTCGATGCCGTGACAACGATGACGAATGACAAAATACCTTGGCACAGATCGAACATCGAAAGCTTCCTGGAAATTAATCAATATATCGATTTTTCAATTTGAGCCGCATTGGGAGCCATTGCACATATTCGACTTCATTCAAAGACCACAGTGGTCTTGTCGTCCATCAAAGGAGATGAAGGACTTAAAGACACATTCTGCGAGAACGGTACGGATCAAAGGTAGGCGGAGACACACAACCATTGTATAATCTTCATTGGTGCGCCTTTCCTACGAGCCATACCTTAACGGGGAAAAGCGCCACGTGCCTGTCATGGGGCCAGTCCGATATTGGGTGAGTGCTATAGCAGCCTGCAACTTCGAAGGTCAGAGAGTCCCGGTGGGTAAACTGCTGATCACTTGTGGAACACTGGAGTGTGCGAAGTGACTTACCCACCCTACAGCTCCCCAACTCCGCTCAAATTCGCAGGTCATCATACAGAC